ACAAATAATAAATAAATTTTAGTATACCATCATACTTAGTCCAGCCATTAATGGCTGCACCTCTTCCCAGTACAACGACCAGAATTTTGTAAATATTATTATACAGTATACAGGAAACGACACATCTTCATATTGTCTGCGTGACAACAGGTTTTCTTGTGAGGCGAGAATCTGACAGGTACACCATGGATGCCCGGCTCACCAGGCTTGAGCCCAACTGAACACGAGCTGGGACAAAATGTGTCATCTAGGGCTCATTAACAGGTGAACCGACTGCACAAACGAATGGGGTGAGATAGAATCCCACAACCTGAAGCCTGTTGAAAAGAGGTACTGTACGTCTTGTATTGCATCCAACAGTGGCCACTGGTGTTAAAATCCTGACGCAGCTACCCACCTGAACTACCTGTGTGCATGTTTGTTTCTGTTTCAGCTAATTTAAAAGTGTACTCATAGCCACTGTAGACCAATTAAAGCTCTACACTTGGAAGCCCAACAGTTCAGTGTAAGACTGCTGTGCTATACGTTTATTGTCACAGTGCAATATGCAGCACTCGCATCAGCAACGTACTGTAGTTTAACTATTTCATAACTATTTGGAGCTCCCAAGGTGCTCACTCAAGCTCAGGTTGAGTAAAATGTCTCTAGCCAGCTGTGACTGGGAATGCCCAAGCAACCTTCAGAACTGACTGAGTGGTGCTGGGCAGGGGCAGGCTAAGACACCCAGGGCTCTCTTGGCTGTCTGGAGGGGATCAATTCCCCGGGAGTTGCCTGGAACCTGCAGGTTTGCAGTGACATTAATCAGAAATGTGAGATAATCAGAATTAATTCTCCTGTCAGGCCCTGGGGAGGCTGTAGCCTGTCGAAAAGGGAATAGCTCTGCAGGTATGAGAAGCATGTCCGCATGTTTTATTTTCTGCTGAATGGGAGCAAGATTTGTCGCTGAAGAGCCATGTCTTGAATGACAAAATGAAGAAAAAAATGTTGTATGTAAGATTACAGCTACACTAAAACCACAGCAGCTCAATACTGATTTAACCCTCAACATTCCACCAATTACCCAATGTAGACAAACTGCTTAAGTAAGAAAATTGTGTCTAAAGCATGTACAATTTGTTAGGCACCATTTTTGAAAATGTGTTGTACTGTATGTACAGTGTTTCAGAACCCACACTATTTAAGGAGTGATCTTCTTAAATATCTGCATAGTGCATGTCAGAATCAGTTGTTATCTGGTTGATTATCTTTCATTTTACAGCCTAAAAATCAGGGATATTCAGATGTGTTTTATTGTTTAATCAACAATAATTTCCACTTGAATACAACTTTAAGGTATCTGCCAATACTCCCTTTGTTTTTGACTGAACAGTTCACTTCTGGCTGAAGGTTATCAGACCTTCTCTATTTTGCTATTAGATTGTAGGAAATGCATTCATGGTTACACTAGGGAATCTTTAACACTACTGCCTGAATAGCTAAAAAGAAAGTGCTTTAGAAGTGCATTAATACATCACAGAGCTGCTGCACTCTATCACACTAGACATGCACATATAATCTCTGGCACACAAATTGTATCGCAGATTTATTTCCCCTGCCAGCGATACAATAGGATGTACTGTAGAAATACACAGGCTTCTGAACCACTCAGCGCAATCAACAGTTATTCCAGTCATATTCCAGGTTTTGTTATCCTACCCTGAATTTTTGCAAAGCTAGCTTTAATTCTTTAGTTTTGTATCTCTTTTCCTTTTTTTACTACTTAGTAATCAATCACTTAGTTAAAAGAAACTAAATACAGTACTGTATACCTGACCAATGTTCCCATTAGCACAGCAGGGGAATGTATCTTCTGCTTAGGAAAATTTCAGCACAGTCATCTCACCTAACTGGAGAGCCAACATGCTACTGAAATTTTTCTTGGGACTTTCAAGCACTACTATCATTGGGATTTTTCAAGCAGCAAGCTGTCTACAAATGGATCAATAATCCCATCATGTTATGTCTCTGTGGAATACAAAAGCAAGAGAACTAGTAACTCAAAACCATTTAAGTTGAGGATGAAATATTAAAATCAGGTTAAGAGCTGTGGTGCCAATTACTCATTGTGCATAAATAATTACCTTTATAGCTGGAAGGCAAAGTGAGTGTGTTTTCATGGGATAAAGTAGGAATGTCAGGCAATGTGCAGTTCTGTGTCATATATTCCATTTAAATCTGTGACTAACTGGAAGTCCGAAGTTTTGAATTTGAATAGTGAGCTTTATTGGTATAACTCACCTGTGGAGAATGAAAACAGTGTGTCCTTATAAGGAAAAGCCAGGGAGCTGCTGCAAGGGTGAAGATGGGGAGGAGGAAGCAGGAAGTGTGATATTTATATGTAGAAAAGACTAGGGTTTGACATCCTCCTGAAGCTGGTTTTAAACTCCCAGAACAGTGCATCGCGTGAAGTGTACATTTTCAAAGTCTGCGATCAGTTTTTTTTTAACTCACCTGTTTGACTGTGAGCAACAGCTTACCATAACTGTAGATGATGACAAAGAAAGGAAGAACGAGGCAGAAAACAAAGAGGCACACGATGTAGGAGATATTGTTCACATCCTTTGCTTTCCAGTTCACAGAGCATGTAGTTCCAGGTCCTTCCGGACCATAGCTGCTCCAGCCAAAGAGTGGTGGCAAAGTCCACAGCAAAGAATACCCCCAGGACAGCATTATTCCAACACCAATTTTCCTGTAGTTGGTTGCATCTGCTTCTGTTGAGCCCATCATTGTACTGTACCGTTCATAGGAAAGGACAGCCAGGGAGATAAGAGACACCATACCTAAAAATTAAAAACAATCCAGCATGTTAATCAGAAAACCATTTTTGTTTCTTATCAAGTCCAGTGTATAATGAGACAAGTTGCATTTCGAAACATTAAATCAGAACAGCTTTAATCTCAAAGTGATGGTAATTCCATTCAGACTCTGAATAGAATCACACAGAATTGCACACTCCTTCAGTGAAAACAGACTAATTCCAGGATTTTTTAAACTACTAAGAATTAAAAACAGCTATAAAGAACAGGGCATTTCTGTTCCTACTGTAAATCGAAAATCTTTAATTGCTACTGTATGTTACTCCTCTTTCCCTCATGACTCTCACAATTCTGCTTAACTATTTTTTCACTGTTTTTTTAATTTCGCCTTTTGCTATCCCTAGAAGCTGAATGGAGATGTCTGCCTTGATAAATATTAAATCTGAATGAAGTCTTTCATTGTTTCTGTTAGAAAATGATAGCAGCCCAAAGCCCTTAACCATAAAGCCATAATCAAATTTAAATAGCACTGAGACATGAAATCAAGTTGATTTTGGCATGACTATCTCAAACATTCATTTAATGTTGGTACATAAAGTTCTGTGGAGGAACGAATTGGGGTATTAATATATTTAATATATAATAATAGTTATAGAGATATGGTAGTTTAAAGAAGCCAGTTTGGGGCATTTTTGTATCTACCCAGACTTCCTTGAAGACACTGTAACTTCTGATCTTCACATGGTACAAAAACAATCTTGTTGACATTTTAAAGTTCTTAACACGCCCCAACAGACTGTCTTTGAGGTTTGTTAGAAACTGATTAATTTCACATTTAAAAATATCTATAGAAATCTTTTAAGAAGACCATTTTGGTTTATGTTATTTTGTCAGTACAACATTGTACAAGAATATAAAGTGTTCAGTAACATGAAAGGATTCATGTACAAGTTAAATATGATTCCAGGAAACCAAAGAAATATCCTGGTGATTAAGTTTCTTTGTTTTTTTTTCTCTCTCTCTTACTTGATGCTGTATATGAACAATGTGCTGAAACTTAACACAAGCTTTTGGTTTTTCATTTAATTTCATTATAGGTGACAAGTTGCAGTATCACTAAAGCCCTAAGACATTAAAAAGAAGCTTTTACCGTCGTCTTCTTCCTTTAAAGATGGATTTTTGAAGTAAAGATGTGTTCAGTAGTTAATGCAAAAAGTGATATCTCATCATGTACACAAAACATTTCCAATGAAGGTGTTTTATCCCTTTAAAAGCATTCGAGAAAAAGAATGACAGGAAGCCATTGATTGCCATTGATTTAGACATCAAATAAAATATCATGGTTTCTTTTTCTTTTTTGTAATTTGGGACTCATGCTGCATGTTTCTATAAGGACAGATTACTGTATGTTGTGTTTAGAAATGGGCATTGTCAGTTGTTGTGTGAGTTAGAACTACTGCCTCAAAACTGTGGTGTCCTGGGTTTGATGGATTTTGTGTTTTCTCCCCATAGGTGTTTTAGTTTTGTCTGGGGGCTCCAGTCTACTCCCACAGTTCAGAGACATGCTCTCCAGGTTTAATAATAATAACATTTTTTTCTTTATTAGCCCTATACAATTTCTTGCATTAGGAATGCGTCTTTTCACATACCCCAGCTTTCTCCATGGAGACACAGACACAGAGACAGGGAGAGAAGCTTGGGGTCAGAGCACAGGGTCTCCCATTGTACGGCACCCCTGGAGCAGTTAGGGTTAAGGGCCTTGCTCAGGGGCCCAACGGAGTAGGATTCCTCTGCCGGCCACGGGATTTGAACCAGCAACCTTCCAGTCACAGGCACAGATCCTTAGCCACAGAGCCATGTTTATTAGCCTCTCTAACTTGGCCCCTGTGTGCATGTGTGAATGCATGTGTGTGAGTGCCCTGTGTTAAACCAGTGTCTAACCCAGGGTGAAATGTGAATTCCCTGTGCTCCCTGTGTTAGATTTCTGGGTACACTATTGCCCTTTCATGTTAAAACAGTTACAGAAAATAGATGGATGAAAACTATGCTGTAGTTTGTTTAAAGTTGCTCATAAGATAAAGCCTAAAGTGGTAACATATTCCTGGCCTTCAGTAGCTCCCAAGTTGTTGGAGAGCAGTGTAAACAAGCAGTGTAAACTTACTGTACAAAAACCCAGACACAATGTTTTTCTCTGGGGCAAATGTGTTGGCCGATAAGATAAAATGCAAATAATATTTTTAGACACACAAAAAATCTACAAATAAAAAGTCAACTTTTTGCTGACCTTATAACTTTCATGTTATAGAGGTTTTTTAAATATTTACACATGATTTGGTTATCTCACACAGTGAGATTAAAGATAAAGACTAAAGATTCATACTGTAGGTTTATATTGTAGAACTTCTTTAATAAAAAGAATATTTGCAATCATAACGGTCTTCCCGGTGACTGAATTGAACTGTTGTATCAATGTAACAGCATATAAATGATTACTTTTAAACTGGAGTAATACAAAAAATCAACATCTTTTAAAAGGTTTAAAAAGACTTTTGGATTTCAAATGCTTTTTAATTAGGTGCAACTGTTACTGTACAGTTCTCACCAGGAGCCAGTGAACTAAAGCAAAAGTTGTTTAATAAATAGCTGCGATAATGAAATAACCCTCCTGTCGAAATCTCTTCAATTCTGGTTTAAAGACATTTGTTTAAATACATTTTTTATGTCTCTGTTACGGGCATAAGATTGTTGTAACTGTAAGTAAAAAACAAAGTTGTTGGTTTCAGTGCTTGTGTTGCCCCTTATTTATTTAAACTAAGTGTGTAACTTAGTAACTGATACCCCGTTCAACTCTTGTAGTGGTAAGCATTCTTGTGCTACTTTGTAGCAAAAGAAAAGAGCTTGCAGCTTCTGTGTTATAATACACATATGTATTATGGTAATTAGATCAAACAGCACAATAGATTTGCACACATTACATGTGCCTCTTACCATTTTTATACCAAAGCTTAATTACGTGTTGAGTGTATGTATTTAATGGTGTATCTGGACTTGAGCATGAGTGAGACTTCAATGTGCAAACAAGATTGAGAACACACGCACCCTGCACTGAAAGCCTTCCACCATATGTTTGTAGAGTTTTGCAAAGAAACAGCCATTTTCTTAACTAAGAGCCATAACACACGTTTTTATATTCAAAATAAAAGACAGAAGGTGATAAAAGGTTTTCAATCTGCATGTGTCCCTTACACTTTCCTAGTTGGACAACACATCTTTCCTTAAACTTTTCGCCTAATCCAAGTGCACAACACCCCTTTACATCAATGTTAAGCGTTCTAAAAAGGAAGCCCATTGGCAATGTAGTGTATAAGCAGACACAACAGACACAAGCGGTGTATACAGTAGGTCATGTATACAAAGTGATGCAGAACTGTCACTATAACATTTTATAATGATTGGCTTTTTCTGGTGACAACTAACCTCTTTAATGCTGTGATGAATAGCAGTCTTTTTAGCTGCAGTTATTTTTCAATAATTATACATTTCATCCTCTAGTTAGTTTTTTTTTACAATTGGTTTATTGTTCCTTATATAAAAGGGGGAGAATCCCCTTTAGCAATAAACCCATCTTGAAGCATCTTATAATCACTGGAACATTTCATGGCTATCTTTGTGTAGTGAATTACATCATTGTTCTTTTACCACTTTATTCCTTCAGATTCAGACAGGGGTTTTGCTTTAATGGCTGTAGCCCTAAAACGACAACTCAAACTGAACGGTTTGTTTCTCTGAAAATGTTTTCCATGCTGTCTTGGATTGCACTCAGTAATTTTGTTCACACTCACATACTTCTTAGATACCCAACAGCAATTCCAGTGCAAATGCCAACAAGCATTTCATGTTGTGACGTTTTAACAGTAACTGCTTATGATGCCAAACTCTAGCACTTTAGGAAAATTAGTTGTCTTTTTGGAGGCTGTCCATGAGAGGTTATTTTCAAATTAGATGACACCACTCATAACTTCATTTTTTAATGTCCTAGCCAGCTCCTAAAGGTATAATCTTATTAGTGCTTACATCTAATTACATAAAAATTACATTTTTATAACTCATATTATCTACACTCACATCTGAAATGCTATCTTTTTTGATTCAGGATTAAATACCTTTTGAGTTCTAGGAGTGTATTCCAATATTGCAGTAGCTTTTTTTCGTTCAAAAACTTTCTTTCTCTCCAAAGGTTGCTCAATTAACAAGACAGACGTTTTTGAATAACGTGATTGACTTAAACTTTACAATAAAGCAGAAAAATATAACAAATTATATGGATTGTATTTCATGTCATGATTTTATTGATACTCTGGCAACAACACAGCGTTCGGGAATATAAGCGAAATAGTGAGGAACAATTTCTTGTCTCTGATTATACATTCTGCCACTGAAGGTAGCAGCCGACAGCGCAGGCATTAATGTGCTGGGAACACATCAGGTACCGAATACTAGATATTCCTTCGGGTAACCTACTATATATTGTATTTCACTGGCCAGATAAGTAAAAAATGGATTAATGCATTAGTTCATTTTAATACACAAAGACAGGGAGAGATCCAGCAGCCACTTCATATTATGCAGTTTGTACAATACTTGCGCAATGTACAGCAGGTAAAGCATAACGATCTGTCTGCATATAAATAGGGATTTTGGAATACTTGAATTGCTTTTCTTTTGAGTTAAATGTAACCATACTGTATATACAGTATGTCTTCTCATGTACTCATGTCTCCTCTGTCTATTCATGTACTCATGTCTCCAAAGGCCCTTTTCTAAGAGAAAAAAATAAAGTTTTCTGTGTAATAAATGAACACACTCTAGAATAAGGAATTTTTGCGGTACAAATGAAACGTTATTAATATCTGCTAAATCCAAAAAAATCCACAGTGGACATTTTGGTGTAAGGCATAGACAGAGCTACAGTACGACGTATAATAACGAGGTACAATTGAAAGCTAACGACAATTAATGTTTAAGTAATTAAGTGGAAATCGGAGAAACCCACAGGCAAGCTATGAACATGAACCAGTATTCTTTAAAAAACATTTAATCTATAAAACGAGCAAGCAATTTGTGCAATACTACGTGTATATCTGTTTTTTTTTTTCAGTTTCATGCGAGCGGACACAAAATAACTTGATAGACCAATCGCTTTCAGAAACGAACGGACATGCAAGATTGGTCACAACTTACCCAAGCAAGAATTGACGAACCCATACCAGACGCATCCAGATTTCCCTATGAGCCAGCGTCCCTGCGTGCTCGCTGCGAAGCTAAACGGAGTGCCCACCGCACAGACCAGCATATCACTGACTGAAATATTCATCAGAAGCAGGTTTATGGGTGAGCGCAGCACTTTGTAGCGGCAGAACAGCAGCAGAACAAGAAAATTGCTAGAAAAGCCAAGACTTCCAATTATACCTAAACACACGGCAACAATCAGGTGTCCGGTTGGGGTCAGGTCGTTATTTGAGGGTGCCTCTACGTTCCCGTCATTGTTGCTGACACACCAAGCACTGTTACCCTCTGTGCAGCTAAGGTTCACGTTGGATACTATCATAGCGATACTCTTTTGGCGCAGATTTTCACCGTGTGTACAGCTTTCACATAAATGTGTAGGTTTTCTTTGAGAAACTGAGCTACTGTTTGGCAGTGAATTTTAGAAGCATTGCAATCCATTAAGTTTGACTAGATTGTTAGCAACTGCCTTGAAAACAAATAAAAAAGAGAACAGGGATGATTACAGGATGGAAGTTTGAAATCTCAGTTATCGTTTGCGAAAGTTTTTCCCCCCGCAAGTATCAGGTGGCGCTTTAGCTTTAGAAAGTATTCCAGTTGGCTGTGCTCCACCATGTGGTGGCTCAGCTCTTCACAAACAGCAGAACGTGTGCCTCCAGTCTGTTTTTATATCGACTCCATCCCAGCTGACGTACTGTACTGTATGAGGTGGAGGATTTCAGAGAACATCTTCATTGGGGAAATTGACCTAAAATTGGAATATAGGTCAAGAGGACTAGAGGGGAGGAGAGAGTGCCAAGTGCCTTCCATTTAATGTTTTATGTTCCTGTTTAGAAGTTGTAGGACCAATAATAAATATTTATATTGAATCACGGAGATACTGTACGGTGTACTTCTTGTTTGCTGCTCTCGTAGGTGTTACTATTGCTATTATTATACTAGTATAGTTTAAGTAACAGTCTCCACTATATTTCGGATGAAGGCTGTGCAAGGAAAAGGTGTTCAATTTGTTTTAGTTGTCCGTTCATTTATTGATTGTCAAGGTGCGCATTTTGATAAAATATGTTGACATTACACTTACAGTATGCTCCGTTAGTATGGCAGATGTTCACTATTATAGGAGTATTGTGAATGCAGTACGTTTAGCTCGGAAAAAACTTTTAGGTGACGAGGCGGCAGTTCTCTATCGTGGCAATATAATAAAGCGAGTCGAGGTTAATTGTGCTAGAATGCAAACCGAGATCTGTGCATCTCTAAAAAAAAAACGATCACTGTGCATGTTTGATTTTAGAATAATAAAGCATAGGTTGTTTGGATATTGACAAATCTTTTGCCGTCATTTTGATTGATCATTCATGACTTACTGTGATGCATTCGAGTCACTTTAAATGCTACTGTACATAGGAGCGAAATCATAACAATTAGAGGTTAATTCCACGCTGAACAGTGGTAAATAAAAAGGGTTCCGATTGTTGTGCCTTGGGACGTCCTTCTGTAGGTGAGAAGGAAAGAGAGAGAAGGTGTCATGATATAAAAAAGGAGAACGGTGATATTTAAAGAGTGTCCAAACGAATGGAAATGTGAGGGGAGAATTTCAGAAGTGTAAAAAACTGAAATGCATGAAAAGGTTTTAGGAAGCAATAAGTCATTGAGAGCTGAAGGATCCTAGTTTGAGAATAATCTTGGCTGCTGATATCTTCCTAGAACAGATTCTAGATGCGCTGTCCGTAATCTGATCAAAAAGACAGATCTCTCGTGAAACATCAAACAAAACATAAATCAAACAGCTATTCCAGGGATGCCTTGATCGCCCGAGTCCTATCACGTTTGCGGGGTTAACTGGGGCGTGTGGAACATACTGTATAGGTTTTAAAAACAATTGAAAAATCAATTGATTCTTCGGAGGAAGAGCTTTTTGAACGGGAAAGAATCGTGTAAAGCAGGGTAAGCGTTTACAATCGGGTACAACTGCCTCCAACTATAGCCACAGACGCTAAACGCCTGGGATTTTGACAGCAGACCCTGCATACTGTAGGCCAATCCAATCCCAGGGGGGAAATTTTGCTCGGACACCGGGAAAACTCCCTACTCTCATCGAGAAAGGCCCGGGGATCTTTAATGGCCACTGAGAGTAAGGACCTCGGTTTAACGTTTCATCCGAAAGACGGCGCCCTCTACAGTATAGTTTCCCCGCCACTATACTGGGGCATTAGGACTCACACAGATCGCAGGGGGGGGCGCCACCCGCTGGTCCCACTAACACCACTTCAAGCAGCAACCATAGCTTCCCAGGAGGTCTTCATCCAGGTACTGACCAGGCTCAACCCTACTGAGCTTCAGTTAGGTTGAGAGCTGCAGGTTGATGGCCAATCCTGACATACTGTACAATACGTTCATCAGAAATTCACCTATGCCATGTGTTTTCGATAGACTGCGAAACTGCAGCTATCATTTCGTCATTTTTTTAATAATAACTGTGAATTTGTCGCAGTTATGTGGTTTTCTTTTATGCTCAGGTTACAGCAAATCTATCTATCAGCAAAACTATCGAAATTCCAGTTTCGGTGACAATTGCTGTTTTTAACAAACCTGTGATGAAGGAGCCCCTGCAAGCTGTCCAAGGTCCTAAACATCACATTCACATTAGGCCGGTGTATCTGAGCGATTGGTCAATGAAAAATCATTACCGGTCAATGCGTGATTTTATACAAAAACGTTTTAGGGAGAAAATATCTGACAGTTTTTATTTCTATTTTATCGATTAGATTGGAGAGCATTTCATAGAATATCACTCATACAGTAGGTAGATTAAGTTGTGCTGCATTAGCTCCGCTTAAGGAATTGATTGTGCGCAAAACGATTCCACTCGCACCTCGATCAGACATTTTATATACTGTAAGCAATAAGCCCAAAAAATCACATTTTTAATTCAATGTGTAAAAATAACCATATGTTTTCAATTGTGTAATGTGAACCAGTTGAGGTGATGGTTAAACTCTGTTATAAAACCTAGCTCATACAGTACCTTTCACATTGTCAGTATTGGATTTGCTCTTAGGATCTTTTTAATCCACTTTGGTGAAGGTAAAGTAAAAGACTAAACAATTGTTTAAGTATGTTTATGCGTTTTTTTTAAACGGTAACATTTTAGTAGCTAATCCTCATTGTGGAACATGCAACACATTTAAAGCATTGCCAGCAATGCCTATAAATACATGTTGTTTCAGGTATATGTGGTTATTTATAATTCTCATGTGTCATGGAAATCACTATACAGGAAAGCAATTTATGTTTATCAGTTTGGCTTTCGTTGATCATTTTTAATGACAGTAATTACTTTGCCAAATCACCTGGCCAAATCACCTGTCACCTGGACAAAGAGCACAGTGCATTAACTGAACGGTGGTAAAATAATTTTAATTTTTCAGTAGATACTGCACAACTGTTACCTGGTTGAAAAGCAACCTGCAAAATCACAAATTTATGGGACATGATAGTGTATTATAATGTACTACCAGGACTACATGAGACTCATTCAAATCACCAGTCTTCTTGTGATATCTTTCCTAAAAAGGGTGAATGCACAACATTTTCTTGGATCCACAATGTGTACACTTTCATTTCATGTCCAACATTTACAAATAGATCTTAGAATAGAAAAAATAGATGCAAAAACCTAACAATAAATAAGTTAATTTGACCTAGGTCTTAAAAGAACCACATTGAACCACAGGTTCCATCTCAGTGGAACCTCTGCCCCTGGGTGCTATGGTGGCTGGAAGGTTGCTGGTTTGTATCCTGCAGCCGGCAGAGGAATCCTACTCTGTGGGGCCCCTGAGCAAGACCCTTAACCCCAACTGCTGTATAAATGACTGACCCTGTGCTCTGACCCCAGGCTTCTCTCCCTGTCTGTGTGTTTCATGGAGAGCTAGTTGGGGTATGTGGAAAGACAAATTCTTAATACAAGAAATTGTATATAGCCAATAAAGTGATCTTATCTTGAAAGGGGCAATTCTGTAGGTACAGTACCTTTAGACAAAAATATTGAACAGGAACATTATGGGAAGAACAATGTCTGTTCAGCCCACATTGCTGATTTTCATATAATTTTCCCATTTTTCATTCATGCAGTAAATTCAGTGATGATTGAAGTGGGTTTGTACTGTATATAAAGCACATTGAAATCTTTGGGAAGAAAAGTGCTGTATGGATTTAAGGAAGTTCGATGACATAGCAAAACAGTTTTGGGGAAAAAAGAAAGGAAGAAAACACAGGCATTTCTTTATAAATGTAGCATTTTAATTTGCTTCAGTGGGGTGATCGAGGGCTGTGGGTATTGTTTGGGAATTATTATTTCACGAGGAATGACAGCAGCCGAAAGCTTGGCAGAAATTAGAATCGTTCATTGTGATGTGGAGATTTGGCGTAACCCGCTTGGCTGAGGGCCAACCTCCCGGCCGTTGGACGGGGAGGATAGGACCCCCATGCGACCAATGGGGTAGCTGCAAAGGTGGAGAGGGGGTGGAGGACGGATGCAGAAAACGAACGAGGAAGAGGAGAGGGTGACGTTTGATATTGTAACGCTTAAGGCCGACAAGCACTGTGTGTAAGAGCCGGCGTACCAGAGCGGGTGACGTCACCGCCCTTCCCTGTGATAGCAGGACCACAGGACCTACTGGGCTGTGGAGAGATCTCTCTTTAGCTCACGGGGCTAGGTCGCTGCAGAGAGACGCGGAAGTCCCGGGTTCGAGCCTCCAGTCGGGATAGGGCCGACTAGATGCGGCAAGGGCGCCCGCCTGAGCCCCCGTTGCGTTACAATATTTATGGAGACCGGTTGCTTATGTCGGGATTAGTGAGAATTGCAGCAGCTGTGTCGAATGAGCGCGGCTGCCTTCATTCCTCCCGAACTTTCGTTAAAAACTCCATTTAATGTGATGTAATGTATCTGTACTCATTTGCTAGAAGCACGTGACTATCCTTCTCAAGGCATGATCACATAAGAAGCAGGCAGAGTGTCATGAGTGCTCACATTGCAGGTTTTTTGGCGGGGGGGGGGGTTGTTTGCAAAAATTTGCTGCTTCAAAAGATGTAATTGTAATTAAAAGTAACATGTCAGCAATGGTCAGTAAAACCGTTGATGTAATGCATAGTGAGGTATTTCTCCTTAATTCAAAACAGAATGTGTGAGTGAAGCTACCAGTTTTTCTTGACTAAGTACAGGTCATCTTAAAATTTCACAGAGGACCAGGTACACTTTGAGATGAGATGCCCTCCTGTGGCCGTGGACTTCATTGTCTCTGGGAACAAAGAAACAAACCAAAGGATGAGGACAGAAATTAGAACTTCTAAAGGGGAAAAAAAGGTAAAGTAACTGTTAAAACCCTAGTAAAATGATATCTTCTCAATTCTTGCTCTTTAACATGATGAATCCATTTATGAAAAGTTTCTTGTGTGCACATGCCGCCTGCATGCTTGATAATTACCAAGGATTTATCTATTGCAGCCTAAAGTAAATTAAAAAAAATAATTAGGTATTTTGCTAGT